CTCCTGCCCAGCTGCAAAAAACCCATTGCCTCCAAATACCCTTCCAAAAGCTGATCAACAGGGGGGCAATCACCATTCTGGGAAAGTGCCTTCAAACATCTGCACTGATTGCACCTCACTCCGAGGATGATGAGGAACTCTGCTTCGCCCCCAGTCAGCCAGCAACAAAAATCACCTGAGAACTCATTCAGCAGGTAGACTTCTGATCTACATAAGCCAGCTACCTACGTCAATTAGTTTTAATTATATCCAGAATGAAAGACATGCGAATACGAGGGTTTTCTGCAGCCTTTGTTTTCTGTAAGAAATTCTCATTTCTCTTGGCAAGAGCTCAGCTGAGTCGCAACACAGGGAATGAACAATCAGCAAAAACAAATATTGTTTTGCAAATGCATTGAGGTACCTTCAGCAAAGTTGATTAAGGGAAGAATAACCAAACATACATCAATATTTAAGACAGCAGAAGGGCTTGAACATTCTGGAGTCGTTTTACAAAATAAAATATCCAAGTATTTCCTCTGGCAGCAATTCCTTTGTACAACCAGAAAACCATACCCCAACCCATTCCCCCCTCCAGCCCTCAGTTGCAAAGTTGTTCCTCAGAAGGCAGTAAGGGTCAAGAAAGATTTCACCGAGTTTTCCTCCATTATTTTGTCCACCTCTAACATCGGTAACCTTGTCCATACCTTGTCACTGGCTAAAACCAGCTGTACTCCTTACGACGCCTCTTCAAGTAGCAGCACGCACTCATTCCTGGAAAGCAGAGCCTTGCAACCTCCTGAACTCCTTACTCACCTTTTCAGCTTGGCTCTCATTCAGCACAGGTGGTTTTTTTTAACCTCAAATATTTTAATTAATTTGTGATTCAGCTCTAAAAGCAACTGAAAAAATACCAGGCTTTGCAAACAATTTACACCCACAGTTACCACCCTACACCCCCCCCGTCTCTAGCAGGACCTCAGCACTACAAGTGTATTTGGGTCACATTGGCTTAACATACCAATGTCCCCTCCCTGCCAGTGGCATGGGCTCCAGAGCCTTTGAAAACATAAAAATCAGCACTTCTTGCTTCGCACTGAGAACATATTGGGCTGAAGGTGAGGACGACTACAAAGCAAAGTGCCAGACGGTGCCCTTTTCGCAGTGGCTTTATCGATTTCCTACACAAACCCCAACGGTGAGCCCCGCGACACACAGCCAGCAACTAAAATTGGAGTTACAATAAAACTCACCTATGCCGGTGCAGAAGGAGCAAAGTATGGACTCGGGCAGATAAGAAATCGTTTGGCCAAACCCCCAAATGGATCAGACTTCAGTGGCACTACATCAAGTTTTACAGCATTTTAGGATCTGGCCCTCAATTTTGGTCACGTACCACCTGCTCAGGAGTAGACCACTAGGAGATTTGAAACTGGCCACAGAGACTTGAAAGCGGGCATTTTCCTCAAGGACCCGTTCAGACAGCACCGACTGAACCGCGGCAAAGCCAACCACCATCGGTCCTTCACTGGCACCAAACCACTGCTCCGGAAACCAGCACAGAAATTCAGACAGCAACTGCTTTCATTTCCCTTATTAACTAGTACAGCCCATTTATTCCTGTGAATAATGAACCCTAACGCTGGTCCTTTATAAACATGTCCCAAAGCAGTCACAATTTACCTCTCGCAGTTGCTGATAAATGGGCCATGTTGCCAAAGGAGATGTACAAATCCGAGTGGTCTGGGTTCTTTACAGTAACTACTACCGAGCTGCCTATATTAATTGAGAGAGCGAGCCCATTATATAAGGAGATTAGACCATGTCATATTTACAACCTCGGTGTCCCCAGCGAGAGAAATTGCTCGGCTGTTACTGTCAGTGCCTTCTTCAAACAGGAACCCTGCTGACAAGATGATGAATTCAGAACATCGTTGCCAATTAATGATTTGTAGGCAGAAGGGATTTCAATAGTTCCCATATGTTTGTGAGGGTGACTGGGATTTACATCACCTCTAATAAGAGACTGTAGTCTGCTCTGTCCAGACATGACACCAGAACTTGGAAAATGTCATCTTTGCAAGAGAAATTTTAATAAACAATGCCAAGCTCTTCTGGGTTGAAAATCTGTCCCAAAGCCCTGTCACTAATAACCTGCTTATGCCTAAGTGAAAGCAAGCAGGGAGACCGCTTGCAAGATGCACCCAAGTGATTTACAAACCAAAGGTCAGAAGTTATTTAGGTGTTTGTCAAAGCTACACCGCAGAGTGCCAAGACCATCATTATGTCAGCCGGGAGCACGGGGTGCGTTTCCTAACCACTACTCAGGCTGGGGCGGGGGGGGGAAGAATAAATCTACAAGCACACACAGGACTTTCTTAGTGTTACTTATTCTGCTTATGGGCTGCAAAGTTTAACTTGATTGTCCTGGGGAAAAAAAAAAGATCTAATCCTTGTGACTATAACAACATCCCAACCAGAAAGCATTTTACTCACATCAGCCTGAACTCCGTACTCGCTGAACGCAGAGCTCCTGAACGGCCTAAGGTTGAACGTCTCCTATCGACCGAGCATCTCGGAGCCAGCCGGTGGGAAATGCCTGGCACGATGGCCCGGGTTAAACACGGGACATCCAAGTGGGGCCCTCAGACTTTGCCATAGGCACTCGGATCTCAACGCCCCATTGATTTGGTGATGGAATTTAGGGCTTTCCTACAAATGAGAATTATGGGCTTTAACAGCTCTAGAGCAACTAAAGCAATAAACTCCTGCCGAGGGTAGGCTCGAGGTGAAGTATAAAAGTAGTCTATGTGGGTATGCCTTATGACAGAAGGGCAAGCGTACATCGCCATGAAGCATCTTTCCACTTCCAAACTATGATCACAGTCCTATCCAACACAGCCTTAAATTGTGGGGCCAGACACTGTCCTCTCAACTGACTTAAGAAAAATAAATTTAAAAAAACAATCCACACACCCCAAAATGTAAAGCAGAACCTCAAATCAGTAAGGTCTTCCAAAAGCACGCCCCAGATTGCTATCTCAGCCCTACCAGAGATCCAACCGCTCTACAGGCACAGCAGGCTCTTCAAATATAGTCTCAGGTTTCTAGTTTAAATCAGTCCAGTTTTTTGGTTGGGTTTTTTTTGTGTTTTGCTTTTTGTTTGTTTTTGAGATCTTTAAGAGTGCTTTGAGATACCCCATGCTGCTCATGCAGCGTGGGAGGGCAGGATATGAGAGGTGACTAATGGATGCAGGCCTTCCCTCCCAAAATTCTTACAGGTGACTGAAGTCAATGTCTAGACATAGCACCCAAGCGGTGCACCTAGTTCTGGGACACGGTATTTTTAGCCATAACGAAGCAGATCCTTGCTGATCTATAAGACCCACATCCCTCATCTGTGGCAGGCTGGATTTCCTTAGCTTGGGCTAATGTTGATCTTAGCTCTTCTTGTGCAGTATCAAACATCAAGTCCAACTCTTCTTCCCCCTGAAAAGGGAGAAGTATTGGCACAGGAAAAGCAAAACCAAGTCAGATTTTGCTGTATTGACTACATCTGCAGAACAAGGAGACCATCCTGGTCAAAAAGCGCACTCCACACGCTATTTACCAGAGGTTTCTCCAAAACCAAACACACCTACATTTTCTCTCCAAGTCAACCCTTGAAGAGATTTGAACTACGTAATCTTCAGGGGCACAGCATGCGACCGAGGACTAAAGGATCAAGGCCACAGTTTGCTTTGGATATGCACCGACCTATCCTTGGCACCAACACTACAAACACCGATAACGAGCGTCCGGAGCGAGGGGAAGAGAAAACACAACACCGATTTTGGTTGGCGCAGAATCCCTCTGCCTTGCCCACAGGTTATCTATTATCAGGTGACTGCAAGGACAAGGCAATTACGATGGGACCGATGACCAACATATAATTTTGCAAAAACAAATGGCACTGAAATCTTTTTGTCCCTCTCTGTTATATCCCAATCAGTTTTAAGCTACCTGTTGCATATTTACAACCAAACAGCACATTTTATAAACGAGTATGTAATACAACAAACCATAAAATGAGATTATACAATCTTTAAGCATGTTGCACTTATTTAACAAGTCTTCTTTTCTAGATCTTGAGCTGCAGATACCCTAGATCTCTTGCACAAGGCCCCTGATGATTCAGATCTATGCTGACCAGCAATTCAAGAAACTCAGCCAGCTACTTGTGTGAAAACTTCAGCACATAAGGAAGCATTTTTATCAGCGGGGCTTTAGGTTTAAACTCAGAACAGCTCGTATTAAACTATTTACCAGAGAAGAAAAATCAGTCCGCTCACACCATATCAAATTCTCACCCACCCCATAGAGCGATAAACATACTCCCTTCAACACAAAAACAAACCAGCTTTTGCATAGGGAGATTAACTTCCTGGTACAGTCCAGAAAAAAGAAACCAAGCTTCTAAAATCCATAAGGCAACTCCAATATTGAGGAAAGATAACAAAGTTTTCAATAACAGGTAAGATTGCAAATCACTTCACAGACCCAACAGTATAGTCCTCCAAAGATAACAGTGGCATGCCAGGTTCTCCTTGCCCACAGCCCTGTAAGCACCAGGAGGACCTGTACAAACGCGTCAAGTCCCACCACATCCAGCCACAAGGCCTCTCTCTTCTTCATACTGTCACAGTCATTCAAAGGACCTCAGTGGAAGAGAGAACCCAACCCACCACTGTGAACAACCAGTCACAAAGGACCTGGAAGAGAAGAACGCCAAGATCTGGAAGAGAAGAACCCAACCCACCACCGTCAACTCAACCAGCCACGAAGGACCTGGAAGAGAAGAACTCAACCCACCACTGTCAACTCAACCAGCCACAAAGGACCTGGAAGAGAAGAACGCCAAGATCTGGAAGAGAAGAACCCAACCCACCACTGTCAACTCAACAAGCCACAAAGGACCTGGAAGAGAAGAACGCCAAGATCACACATCACCTCAGCATGGCACCCTCCCTGCAAACACTTACCTTGGCAGGTGTTGTTCTTCTCCTCGTACCCTGCCTTGCACAAGCACTTCCCGATGGGCACCAGCCATTCCCCCTCAGCACTGCAGTGCATCTTCGGTGCCTCGTCCGTCACCGAGTGGTTGACACAGACACCAGACACTTCTAGCAGCTGCGAGGAATCCGCTCCCGTGATGGTGTCAGGAAAGCGGGCCAGGTTGCGGATCACCGACGGGCACTTCTTGTAGTACACGCGTACGGAGACCAGGGCGATGCAGGCACCCACGTCCTGGAACGCGAGGTAAAACCCCTTTTTTGTTAGGGGTCCAACATCTCTCACCTCTGTGTTCAGCTTCATAACTCTGTCTCCGAGGTCCAACTCTGTGAAGCTCTCATCAGCAGCGATGGTATCGATCTTGATGTACTGGTTTTCTTTGATGTTCCTCCCATCTTCATCATCTGATTCGAAGTAATACATGTTAAAAGTCTCCTTGCAAGTCCCAAGCCCTCCTGGAAGGCTGTTACAGTCCCTCAGGGTGAATTTGAGCTCAATGAAGATGCGGGACGCCCCTTCATTAGAGATCCAGCTGGTCAGAAGCCAGTTGTTCTGATTCTGTTCCATTACCTTGCATACTTGGTATGTGTGTATCGGAGCATAGTTTTCATCCACCTCACCAATTTCTTCCCACTGTATAAAAAGGAAAAGTATTAATGTTACAGCTCCTGCAAAATCTTAGCTTTCCCATCTAAGACGACCTTGAGCTTCAGAGGTTCAGGAGGACTTTGGGGGGAGGGGCAGGGGGGGAAATGTTTTAAATGGCAAAGTTTTCCATACCCGACACTTGATGCATTCCTGAAAGTCAGATAAAAGACCCTTTAGAAATATAAAAGGATGCTAGTTAAAACCTTTTGTTTCAGACATTTCACAAGTGAGAAAACACACCACTGGGTTTGTCCACCAGTACTTCCTTAGGGAACAAAACAAAAGCAGATGAGGCCATGAGTTGGCTTTTTCCAGTACATCCACATAGGAGGAAAAAAA